GGTGAATCATAGGGAATAATTAATTATGATACACGATAGTCAAAATGTCAAAGGCGACTTAAGTGGCCGCCTTAGACAGGTGGATAGTGGATGTGCACATCTTGAGTCGTATACAGCGCAGTGTCATATATATTTGTATAATTAAAAAAAGGAATTAGTTAAAAAGAAGCAAGTGGAGAAATTAAATGGGAAGTGGTCATTTGTACAATTTAAAAGGGATTGTCTTATAGATGGCTTTTAGAGCAGGCTCAGATAACTCAAACATACATCACAAATTGACAACAAAAATTATGTTTGACACGTAGAAGGTAAACTTAGATAAATAATATATATTGGAGAAAATGAAGGGGAGTAACTCAGGGAAATCACTTTAGCTATGGTTACTTTTTACTGTTACTGATTCACAGCACACAGCTGTTCGAGTGGTGCCGTGTCTCTTTTTGAACCTGTTCAATCAGCCTGTACTTCTTGTGAAGTCAAAGCCAAGTTCCTTTAAAACTCTTTGACCATGTCTGGACGCTTGCAGCATCTGTTAAAGTTGAGGTTTATAACCGTGTCTGGATGGTTTCACCGTCCGATTCAAAGTTTATGTGTGTATTATAATGGTATGGACTGAAATATATTATAGTAATTAAATACGAGCTAACAAGCCTTTAGCTTGACCCGGAAGTCAAAGACAATAAATTCTACATCTGGTTGACACTTTGTTGATCGGTTTGAATAAAAACAAACGTTTTCAAAAACTATATGTCGAGTCGCATTTCCACAAACAAACACACTAAAATTACGAGATAAAGTGATTTGAAATTGCATGGTTAAAGAGTTAGTTGGGATTTTGTCATCAGCTTTTAACATCAAGATGGGACGGGAAATAGGAAGAGACACACCACATGGCCTGTGCTTGGTGAAACCTTGGAAACAATGCCGGTTCAGTCATGCTCTCAAAATATCTGGCAAAGTGCATTGGTTTCCTGTTGGGTTGACATCCAGTGCTGGTGTTTTTAAAAAACAAATTTTTAATGTTGATTTTTTAAAAACATAGAAAGCATTGATTTTGAGGATTCCAAATCTCCTACAAATCCCCCAGGGCGGTGCCACTGACCGAAGTGTCTTAGGCCATTCCCAAAGGGGGGATATTTCTCGTTCAAGCATAGAAGAATGAATGGACTGACTCATGTCTCGCTCATAACTGTGCCTGATCTGCGACAGAGAATTACTGCTTTTTCTTTCCTAATCCTTACTATCGTCATTTTACCTCTACTTCTTTTGTATGTTTGTCACACTCTTGTGACCCACTATTTCCGGGGTGCCTAGTCAAAGCAGACTTTGTGCTGTTGAAGCTAGAGAGGTGAGCAGAATAAGTCTGATTCCCCCTAAGGACTTCTCTGTTGACATCCACCCCCTTGGCGCTCATATGACTTTTACTGTTGTGAGCGCCGTAAAAACCTCTACTAAAACTAAAACCTCTTACTATGTCTGTGTTACTCTTAGTGCCGGTCTTCTTGTCCACCCATACTAAAATCTGATCCTTGGTTTCTATTGTCAGACAATTGAGTTTTCTCTTCTCTGCCTCCATGAAAAGTACCCGATTTCGATAAAGGACAGAAAGAAGGATGGATAGTGGGTTAGTGGGTGTGTCATGATTTTTTCTGGCAACAAGAAAAAGGAAAAAAATACTGCTGATGAGCCTAACGACCTAAATGACACTATGAAACATTCAATAATGTCAGAGTCAGATCATAACCATGACGATGTTATCAATTTACTCTTTAGAGCACGCCACCCACCCCTCTTGCAAATCACTTCCCAATCCATACCTTCATGTTCAAACAGCCGTACACACACATGATGCACATCAACACAAATTCGAGCATTATTCACACACCACACAGCCCAATGCAACTCCGCACTGTCTGTCTGTCTGTGATATATACACCCCAGCACTCAGCACCCACCCACACATGATCAGATTCAAGTAAGTTCCAGTGCCTTTGCCTAAACACACGACATGTTACAAGTACACACACTGCAGTTACCGTGTACTGTGTGACGATTCGTTTCAGTTCCAACAGTTGTCTGTTCTGTCTGCAAGTATGGCTCGTGGGTGTTTGGCGGGTGGTCTGGTGTGGTTTGCTTCTTCTTTCCTATCAAACATCTGTTGTCTTTTTCTCCCCTCCTTCTTTTTTTGTGTTTGTTACTCCCTTTTAACACCTCTAATCTTTGGCACTTATAAAATAAATATGACCTTATTGCGTTGCAAGTGCCGTAAAACTCTAACTAAAACAAAAAAAAGCGTGGCTCTTTCATCTAATCTTAAGTAATAAATCACATGACCTCTGTATTGATGTGATTACATATATATATATATATTATGTTTTTGTGTATTTATTTCAGGGTGGTGTTTTCTACTACTTGGAGCATGTTGCTGGTGAAAAAGGCTCCTTCATCCGATCAGTTCAGGACTGGCTTCAAGTGATATGGCCTTATTTTACTGGAGGATGCTCCGTCAACCGAGAGACCTGGGTCTATTTGGACAAGTCCAGGTTCCGAGACGTGCAGTATCGACGCTACTCGGCCAACACGTGGTTAGCGTTCTTCATCAGGCCGTTCTTGTACGGCACAGCTGCGAAGACATAGCAGCAAAGAGTTTTTTAGGGGAGAGTTACGTTTATTTTCCATTTTATACCTGTATGAATGAAGCATGTTTGGTTGTCGACGCATAAAAAGGTTTTTGTTTCAATTTTAATACTCTGTCTGGCATGCATTTATAGTGAAACATGTCATGTACATAGCGAACATATTTTTAGATTAATTTTTAGTCCTGAATTTTAAAAAAACAATCTGATCTATTTGTATTTAAAATAAACTCGTAACATAATAACAAAATTTGTTTATATAATATAATAAAAAAAATTGCTGTGTCCTGCTGATTTTGCTATGTGTGCCTGCTAGACTGTAGAATGTATTACAGTCAAACCCTGTTATACCGCCTAGCTTGGGGGGAGCATCAAGTTGGCAGTGCAGTGGCTCTGACGGTATTACAGGATAGCACAGGTTGCCATCTTGACTAGTGGAAGGCTGGTAGAGACAAGAGATAATAACTGGCCAGTCTTGACTCATTCATATATTAAATTAGATATATTATATCTGTTTTGCAGGGTTGTCATGCGAAGGGAAAAACGAATAGCAACCAATTACATACAGTTGACTGCGAATGAATTGATGTTGTTGGGGGAGGGGGAAAAAATCAGGTCCTCTTGAGTTCAAGAGTGTCTTCTCCTTTAAATTCAGCAGCCTTCTGTTCGTGATTTCTGTCAGTGACCTGTCATTCAAGATTCTCCCTAGAGGTTTGTGGTCCATTGTCACAGTGAGGTCGGTGCAACCTTGGATGTAGTAACGTGTTTGATGTAGTGCGTATGCCACAGCCAGAGCCTCTCCTTCAATTGGGGCGTATCTGCTCTCGGCTGACGTCGTGAATGGACTCCCTGCAAGGCAGAGTTTCCATCCTTCATGGCAACAGTCAGGGTTTCTTTTAGGACATCTTCTTTCCTATCAAACATCTGTCGTCCTTATCTCCCCTCCTTCTTTTTTGTGTTTGTTACTCTCTTGTAACACCTCTAATCTTTGACACTTATATGACCTTATTGTGTTGCGAGTGCTGTAAAACTCCTACTAAAACTTTAAAAAAAAAAACTCTTTTAGGACACTGACAATATTTCTCTCGTAGCAAGAAGCCGACACCATGCACTGAATAGTCAGTCGACAAGCATGTCGGCCGCGTGGGGTCAAAAAGCCGGACACTATCCTTCATTTCGTTGATGATTATTTCTTTGGACTTGGTGAAGGCCAGGTCGTCTGTCCACACAAATTGTGTTGATGGTTTCAGCTGGTGTCGGAATGGCTGCATTTGCTTGGTCATAGAGAATGCATAAGGGCCGTGGTCTATCAGCCCGAACCATGCTGGGGCGCCAGTGATGTCACTTGGTGTTAGGAAATGTTTGATTGTGTCAAGGAATTTGGAACTGGGTCTTTTTTTTTTTTAGTAGAGGTTTTACGGCGTTCGAAAGTGCATAAGGTCATATGAGCGCCAGAAGATTAGAGCTGTTACAAGAGAGTAACAAAAATAAAAAAGATGAAGGGGAGATAAGGATGATAAATGTTTGATAGGAAAGAAGGAGCAAACCACACCAGAGCACCCGCCAACCACCCACGAACTGGATCTGACGTTTGTCGGTGTCACTGTGAGGCCAGCCAATTCCACTGTGTCATGTGCCAACTGGAACTTCTTGGGGTTCTGAGTTATTCCGTTGCGGGCGCATAGGTCCAGCCAGCTGCATGTCTGGTGGAATGCTGATTCGATGCCGTCTGCCCACGTGCATGTATCATCAACGCATTTGACCTTGTTTTCAAAGTTTGATATGATGGCATCAAAGCGCTGATGTTAGTGAACTTGCTCTTTATTAAGATTCAAAGGATGACGGACAGTCTGAGGAAGGATGAGAGATGAGTTAGTATGAAAGATGAGAGATGAGTTAATATCTTTCTAAAATGTAATTCCAATTTCTTAAAAAATATTTGCCAAAACTTAAGAATAACAGTATTTTTCTGAATCAGTTCAAGTCATGAGCAAATCAGCGACAAATGCTAAAAGTAGACAGAGAGATGTGTATGGGAAAGAGATAATGTCAAACAGTCATCGATGGCTTCCGTGTGCAAAGTGTACCTCTGGTGGCCAGTACGCTAGTGGTATAGCGGGACAGATTTCTATTTGTCTGATCAGGACTGTAGGCCTCTACAACTCCGACAGTTGGTGGGTGGTGGTGCAAGGGCCCCAAATACTGTGTTTACATTGGCAAAACCTGGCTGAAAGGAGAGAGAGGG